ATCAGGAATTATTTGCATGTAGTAGTAGAGTTCCAGGAAAAGAACAGATAATGACAACAAGAAGAAATAATTTGTTGTTATGGTTCAGTAACATGTGCTTGGCTTGGCAGATGGCTTTTTTTAGTAATGGAGATGTCAGCTAATGATGTTTGGTGTTTGAATACATAAACAATAATTCTGGGTTAACCTGAGTTTCCTCAAATTCCCCGAGTAAGTCTTTGCTCTTGTCCTCTATGGAATGGTACAGTTTTAGTTATCTTTATTTTTTTGCCCGTGCTTTTCTGAAAGATTATCTTTTTATTTGAGAGTGGCTTTTAGGCAGATAGGATCCACCAAAGGCTTTTCAAGTGAAGGGAGGACATGTGTTTTCTGTAATTGCTCGGTGGATGGAGTGCAAGGTTGCAGGGGTCCCTTCCAGGTCTGTAAGACTGACACCTGGCTGCTCTGCATTCTGGTCATTTCCTGCTGGGGGTTTTCTTTAACTTCATTAAGGTCCGTTATGGCTTGAAGACATTTTTGCTTTTCAGTGACTTCGTCCTGAGACCCTTTCTGACTGTAGTTGTTGTGAAAAGTGACTTTTAGCTTTCCATTAGAAGCTTTCCATTAGAAGAATTAGATAGTATTTGCCTTTGGCACTTTCTGACTCGGACTTTTTCCCAGAGATGCAAAAATTGCATTAAAGAGATGAAAAACCCACTCTAATACTGTAGAACTCATCTCTTGAAGTCTGGCAGATGAATGTGGAACAATTAACCTTTGCTTTAGTAAGAATGGAGCTTCCCAAAGCATGGTAATTGCTGGAGTACTGCTGTTAATGTGCGGCTGGCTTGTTGGCTTCCTCCAGGGAAAGAAAGGAAGGAAACAGGGCAATGGAGCAGTTCAGCATTTTCTGCTTGGGAGGAATCTCTGCTGTGGTTTTTGCCTAAGAAAATGTATTTTGCATGCTTTGTGGGGAGGCCTTCTCAGCAGCTGAACTCATTCCACCCTGGATGTAGTTGCTTTCTTAAGGGTGGGAAGGAGGTGGCTGTTCTCTATATGTCAGTCTAAATAAAAAATAATGAAAAAAAAAATCCTCTTCATAGAGGTATTCTGCCCTTTAGGCATCCTTCTGTCTGCTATCTGGGTTTGTACTCTCAGTACTGAAATGTAGTCATAAGCAAGATTTTTTCAGGGCCGGGTTCTATCCCAGTGATGGGTTGACTCTATTGCTGTGGTGTGTTGCCCCAGACACCTTTCGATGGATTCTAGGTTTGTGATTCTGCTAGAACTAGCCAAAACCAGAGTAGATGGCAGAATAGCAGAAGCAACACTAGCAGGGAGATTACAACAGAGCGGTGCCTCGGCTGACGGACAGGCAGGACTGCTGCGGTGGGCTGGTTAGGCTGGTGGAAATAGACTCTGGGCTCCCCCTGAGCGTGTGATTTTAATCATTTTCTTCTCTGTATGCTGCAAAGTGTTTTTGCCTGTGGTGTGTTGCAACCTCTGGCTACTGGGAAATGACAGAAAATTCTCATGAATAAACTAATCATGTCTTTTTCTTTAGCGTCCCCCTGCATGCCCCCACCCCAACCCTGCTCTGCCAGCCTGAAGCTGCAGAAAGCCTTTAACCACCTGAGTGAAAAATCATTTCCATTAGAAGCTCCCCGGTGAGGAGAAGTGCAGCCTAAGCCCTTCTCCTTGGGCAGAGACAACTACTTGCTGTGCTGCTGCCAGATCGCTTTGAGCTATTTCAGTGCCTGCGACTGAAGCCTTGCTGCTGCGAAGGCACGTGAGGTGTTACGAAGGAAGGATTCGTGCTCTTTATTTTCCTGGTTAACGGTCGGAGCTCTCCCAGCTTGCTGCGGTCTTAGAGGTGCGGCAATGCTCCTGTACGGGCTTTACAGATGAACAGTGACAAGACTGACTTCCTTATTGCAAACCAGGCAGTAAAGAAAGAAGGATCCTATTCTGTAGTTCTACCAAGGCAGTATTTTCAGGGAAGGTGTTTTTAGTGTTTCTCTATGGACCGAGCTGAAAGCAGGCAATGAGACCAGCAATTGCTGTGTCATGACTAGAGAGCGTAGCAATATGGCAAGGCCCAAGACCTTGCACAGGGAGCGTGGGAACGATGGATCTCCATCCCTATGGAATTTTGTGACAGGCAGTGGGAAGTGCAGTCTTCCAGCTGTTTGCAGGGTTCAAGAGACAGGAAAACATCTAGGTCTCCTAGTCCCAGCTCCTTGCTCACCATGTAAGATTGTTGCCCTTGTGTGGTGTGAAATACAGCATGACTGCTGTTGTCACAGGAGCAAGTGTTCCCTGTCACTGCAGTGAAACTAAGAGGAAGTAAATAGCCCAAAGCAACCGCCTTGCCCTGCTGCCACATTAACCCTTTGAGGCTTTTTG